GAAAAACGCAGACACGCTTTTTTAGCGCTTTTTGTCCTGAAACCGAGGAAAAAAATAAATTGGCGAAAAACAAAATTCGCTTTGACTTGTAGCTTCCAAGAGGTGATTAGGACGCTTGCATTTAGTGACCGTGAAAAAATTGGCAATTCATTTTATTTCAAAATTTTTGGTGTGGTTTGATAGCCAGCTCTATAAACTTTAATTTGATATAGGGGCTTAGGTATCTACAGCTTAAACCGGACGCGCTACATCGCTTGGACGCGAGACACCCCTGAAGGTATACGGTAACCTTAAATGTTGACGAAACTAATGGACAAAGAATTGGAAGTAGCTGTTGATTTTATACAAACAAAGCTTGCACGTATGCGCATGACACATTTAGCAACAACAGCATCCAGCTGACCACTTGTTCGTGCTCTCCAGAGTTGCACATGTCGTCTTCACAACACTGGACAAAACAATCAACTGAATAATCCTGGTTCTCTTTATCCTCACACGTGGGAACCTGCGATCCATCTTTCTCGTAGGAAGTACATTCGTTTTCATTCGCACAGGTTTTGAAGAAGATGTGATCTGTTTTGGAATTGTTTCCGAATGAAATTTGTCCTTTTATGCACATATCGTCTCCAAATTCACAGTCTTTTTCTATTGTCTTGTCGAAACAGTTCTTCCATGAGGCGTGAGAAAAGCATTCGTAACACTGTTTTGGAGTGAAACCTGGAGATCAAGTAAACAAATCAGGAATCCGAAACTAACAACAACAACAAAAAAATAATTCGCAGGGGACACCAATTGTATACCTGCACAGACCTTGCACGCCGGGAAATTCGGCCGAATATAGCTTTCTCATTGAAAAACTCTTGGGTTTTTTTACCAGTCTCCCAATTTATTTACCCGTACTTGAATCGACCCCTGGGACCACAAGAATAGAACGAGAAAATTTTTCAATCAAAAGAGTTCAGNTTTAATTTGATATAGGGGCTTAGGTATCTACAGCTTAAACCGGACGCGCTACATCGCTTGGACGCGAGACACCCCTGAAGGTATACGGTAACCTTAAAGGGAATCCATTTCAGCGTTGCGATAAAACTACAAGAATTAACCGCTAAGATTCCCGAGGCGCCGTTTCGCACGATTAATACCTGTAACTTTAATTATTAATTGTGACATGTCATGATATAGTCAGCAATTTTTTTCAAGGACAAGATTACTTTTACTCAAAGAACACCGTAAAATGATGTTTTGCTTTCTTAGATGGAAAAACACTTAAAAGAGGTAGTAGTAACAGTGAAAAAAATTAACAAGGATCAAGATATATTGAGTCATTTCTCAGGGGCCGAGTTCTCACAAAGTAAACTGAATAAATTCAAGATATGGCTTTGATAAACACGTTCTTTTAAAAGAGATTTGAACATCGATGAAACCAAGCTGAGATCGAATAAATCGTAAGCTGTGAACTATATGGGTTTTATAGGCACGTATTTACTGAGAGGTTTGAACATTAATGAAACCAAAATGAGAGCCGGAATGATTCTAAGAATGAACCTCATGCTATTTTCGAAAAGTCTTAAGATTTTTAAGAGTCGCGATGAGTACAAACAGAGTCACCTAGAACCTCTTCGATCTAGGCGAGCAACTGGCTCTTAAAGCAAAGACAAGCAACATGGCGCAACGACATCCCAAGTTGTAAAAAAACGCTTATGTTTATGTATACTGGGACTACCAGAGGAGTGGCAGTGGGCTAGAGGAACTGAGAAAAGGCAGGCCCGGTGAAACGACAAACTGTTAGAACAACATGCGTCCATAAATAATTTACTTGTGCGGAAAGCCAATTTTATTAACATATTTATCACAATGCATTATCATACATAATTCAGCAAGAGACATGCTATATCTGCAAAACACATATCTAATCTCTCTTTCAAGAAGTCTCTTCAAGTTCTTTGCTAAGAGAAGTGAGTTGGAACATTTGAAAACAAGTAGCCGATTTACAATATTTAAGTTAAAGTCATTTTTTATCTGTAAATATTCTCGTGACTTTAGACGGCTAAAACATTAAGGAAGCTGGTGGTATTAAAATTTAATTAACACGATTAAAGCTGCGAATAATTTCGTACCGAACAGCAGTAGGCTATTAAATAAATAACATATATCGCAAATAAAAATCGAAAACAAAATATTACCCTCTTTTCTTCAATTACAAGTTTTTTTAAAGAGATACAAATAAGGTTGAGTTGTTATTGTCTATACCTTTCAACTGAAGGGTGCTAAGGTATAGCGTATCTTAAAATTAAAAAGAAAACTTCGTATGAATAACATTTGCTGAGGCAGAAAAACGCTAAATATATGATAAGATAAGTTAAGAATCTTTAAGTATTAAGCCCTAGTGTCAAAGTATTTAGCCTTAGCGGTGATATTCGATAACTGAATCAAAATGGGACAAGGATGGCTCAAATTGAACTCGGGGGGTTATGTACAAACAATTTAATGACGGAGTAAAATCAAGCCCATAAAATTACTGAAAATGAGCCATCGCTGATGGTCTTTAAAACAAAGTTAAGAACATTCTTTTCTTCAGTTTCTGATTTCGTTTGCCGGTTGAGTAGTTTGCGATATTTCGAGGTCTGCTTGATCAAGACGAGACCTACAGAAAATTGCCATGAAGGAGTTTCGAAATTGCTTGACGCGCCACCCATACAAAAACGGATTGGCAATAGAGCTGACGCACAATAGGAAATCAGCAAATTTCTTGCATACGAAAAACCACGAAGTTTCGACACAACTTTCACAGTTTGACTCAATTTTCGTCATAACCAAAAACGGAATCTGCGTAAAAACTAACGCTAGAAGTATCAGAAAGGCAGTGTAAGCGAATTCTTTCTCGCGTTTTAGATTTCGCAAGTGCTTTTCGGCTTTCTGACCTGAAACTTCCTCGCCTGGAAAAAGGTTTCTTCTTTTTCGGATGATCCAGTATATCATGAAATATATGACTCCAGTGGCTGACAACGCCAACGTTATGTGTATATGTACATCGATAGCATCGTAGATTTCCTCTGGAATATCAGCAAGTTGGAGTAAACTAAACGCTAAACAGTATACCCAGATGACGAGGACCGCAATGGCAGAATGAGTTTTTTTGACGGAGCAGCGGTAGTAAATGGGGAAAGCCACGGCCATTAGCCGGTCAACAGACAAAGCCACGACCAGTACTGTAGCGGAGTTATCGATAAAATAATCCATAATCCAATCGAAGTAAGTCTCACCGTCTTCATTTTTAACGCAGTAAAACTCATTCTTAGCAGACGTTGTGTCTCCGATAGCTCCAACAAGAAAGTCGGTTGTGGCCAATCCAGTTATTAAAACCGCGAACGGTCGTCTGAAGCATTTCAAAGGATCTTTGAATATCACGAACAATAACAGTCCGTTTATTGTTAGTGTGATAATCGAGGCGAGTAAATAAAGCGCTCCAACTGTAGAACATACACCGACTCGCAACTTATCCGGGATTTCGCTCTCTTCTTCCATAACGGTCGCTCATAGGTCGTCCAACTTTTCAGAAACATTGACAAAAAGTGATACCACAGGAAGCTTAGAGTTTCATTTATACAAATGAATTAATCAACTCGGGAATTGTGCCAAATGTGTTAACGAGTCACCGACCTGTATTTGCAAGTTAAATAGAAGTTTTCTGTAACAGTACAGACCCGATGATTAGGGCCGGTCGGGTCTACATGAATAGCGCAATTATTATTTTCGTATTATACCTGATAATTGATAACTGATTTTTATTTCACAATTCAATTGCCTCCCTCTTCTTACTATACCGCCGAGAGAATTGAAATTTTCTTGTTCTCTAGTTAAACATTTCATTTTAATATTTACTCAAAGTTTTGCATTACAATTGCAAAAAAAAGAAAATGCTTGTCACCGGGACGTCAGTATTTGGCATAAAACGATTACCAACAATCAGCTGCACAATTGTTTGTCGCCCGCCGGCTGTTTAGAACACTGAGAAACTTATTTCTACATAAAGCCTTGCATCAAAAACAGAGCCAAAGAACAGCAAGGAGCTATCTGCAAATCGCCGATATATTTTGTAACCCTGATAAAGGTAACATTAGGAGACCCGGTGCACTGGTTTAAATATTTTAACTGAGCCACAAGTTCTGCTTGCCTCATGAACAGTGACTGGTTTTTCTCCCAGCAAATAATAAGCTAGATCGCATCACATAATCCTTAATTCTAAATCAAAATGCAAAATCTTTAGTTGCAGATTAAAATATTTTCTTTTTCTCGTATAAAGAGTTATCCTTTGGAACCCAATTAGCAAAGCTTTTAAATCATTTCCAGTTTAGCGCTTCTCCGTTTGATGAATCAATTCTAGCAAAATAAACGTCAATCAGGTAGTAAAGCAGTTAAAAACGTTTACAGCACTGCTTTTCTTGATGAATCAATTCTAACACTTTTTTTTTTAATTTCAATTGATGTTATAAATAGGATATCACAGTATACCCAACGATTGGTAAACATGTTATGTTCATTTGCGTGAGGCAAAAAGGTGACCATAGCAACAGCATAACCATTAAGAACAGCCTTGATTAATTTAACTGCTTTACAAGTTCATAACTCAAATGCGAGTCCAGAGATCCGAATCTTTTTAGCAATTGTAGTTAGCATATTGAAATACATCTTTTTACCAAGAATAAAATAAAAATTTGTGGGAAGGGGTTCAGAGAAACTTCAAGTTGGTTCTGATTCCGATCCCACCACCTGCAGCTTCCACTAATTGTGTAAAACTTTGTTGGTGGTCTCAGTATACCCCCCACCCCCCTCCCAAATGATTTTTATTAATAAAACAACTCTGTGGGACAGTTACTCACCACGGAACTTCGCAGTCTGACTTCAAAAATGAGCTTTTCGATGTCACATGACACAATAGTTAATAAATAACTTCTCCCTAAGTTTTGGAAAGTTGTTCGTTATAAGCACGATAACTTGCTAATGTAAGCTTAGTTTTGAAAAGTTGTTCATTATAAGCACGATAACTTACTAATGCAAGGTTTGAGAAGTATGTAATTAAGGGTTAAGGTGGCTCAAAACAGTTTCCAACACTTTCCAAGGCTTAGATTTTGATGGACCATTATAACTACTCTTTATCATATGATACTACAATTATGAGATTAAAACACTGCCCAATCGTTGGTGAACACGCTGTTATCATTTTCGTGACACATTATGTTACCATAGCAACAGTCTGCCCTGCCAAAAACACCCTTAATTTTAGTTTTAAGTGCTTATAATTTAAAAAGGGCCCGGCAAAGCGCATTTTTTATCATCGAATTTTCATAAGCAGGACAAGACGCAACGTTTGGCAAAGTTTATAAAACAAATTGTGGCCAATCCTCCGTAAGAAAAAAGATGGCGACTGGTACATTTACCCATAATTCTTAGCCCACGAAAACTGTAACAATGCTCATAAAAACGTACAGAAAAGTTCTGAAATCTTCAAACCTAGCATAGACAATGTTAGCACGGAGGCAAATATCGCGAAAATATGGCTTTCCTGGTTTTTTATGGGCTGTGTAAGGTTCGCATGGTATTGTGGTAAAATGTACAGCCGCCATCTTTTTACTTACGGCGGATTACGGTGTGTGACATTTGCAGACTGTGGACTACATTTAGGCTTTAAACAGCGCTCCGGTTAGCCTGGCCTGAATAGCGCTCGAGGTTAGCCTGTTTACGGTTAGCTTCCGGTAATGGAGATGGGAATACCATATCTGCATTTGCCGTCTGCAAATGTCATAGACCGCAATAGTAATTGAGCATTTAGCAGCATTTGTCTAATACCTTTCGACACCATTATACCGGCATCAACTGAATAAATGTAGCATTGATTCATCAAAGAAGAAGCGCTGAAAAATACATACACTTTATTCGATGGTTTATCAATTAACCTATATAATAACTGCGGATATCTTGCGAATTGCGTAGTATTTTTTCCGAGCCCTGAGGTAACATCAATCAGACCCCGTTGCCACATTTCCAAACACCAAGAAAAGAGTTGAAACCAGGTTGAAACAAACGACGTGTAGTGGAGTATTTTTGACAAACGTTTGTTTGAAAATGCGGTGAAACACAGTTTTTGAGTGTTTGATGAATCTTCTAAATGGAAGCTAAAATTTAGTAGAAAACGGAGAAATAAAATCGTAAAATATATCTTTATAAAGATCCGAGGTACGCGTACGCGGCTCAATAAACAAAGTCAAGGTCGACATGATACTTGATGAATTATTAATGAGTCTCAAAATAAAAATGATAAAACTTAACTTAAGCAGTAAATTTAATTAGTATATACAGCACAAGTGAATAGTGCTTTTCGCGCCCTCTGATTGGTTAGCTCGGAGGTGATTAGCAAGTACTATTCACCTCCGAGCAGCCGGCGTGAGAGATTTTAAAATTTCCGACCGCTTGTCACACATAAAATAACGTTTTGGTCCGCTAATTTTTCAGCAGTGTATGGTATATACTAAAACAATTATTCACCTCAGTGTCGGTGAAAGTGATAGATATTTTATCTCCACTTCAGTGAATAATAATTATTGTTAAATATTACTCTTCCACCATTGTTCAAGGATACTAAAATAAGGCTATATCTTGAAGGAAAATTCCAACCAAGTATCAACACTGTGTTAAAACATAAAAGCTGGAGATTAATACCAGGCCGACACTTGAAATTTTTGAGATCGGTGATCGACTAATCGAGGCGAACTCGTCGGCTGAAATTGAAAAAAACTTAATTGACATCTAAGAAGTAGAATTCTACATTTCAATTATTCTTGACATCGTTACCACCTGTATTTGAACCAAAGGGAAAATATTGATTATAAAGAAGCTACGAGACATTTAATATGCGCTGTAGTTTTTGCATAAATTAGCTTCATGAGTGTCGGAGAGAAACGTTTGATGCTATACGCAAGGCCAAACAAAAAATATTTTCTTCGGAGGAAAGAGATAATAAAAAAGAGTAAAAGAAGAAATATTGTCAGAAAAGGAGGGAAAACGAAAGAAAAAAAAATTCTCGTGCCCCGTGTGAGGATCGAACTCACGACCTTCAGATATCTTACATGGATTATGAGACTGACGCGCTGCCTACTGCGCTAACGAGGCCGGCTATGAACCTGGGTCTAAATTTATAACTTTAAACAACGGAAGTAAAATCCACAGGCCAATTACAAGATTAAAATTGCTCGCGTTATCAGTTGAACGTGAAAAGGAGGCGTCCAGACCGTAGGTGAAGTTAAGAAAAAATATTAAAATCCCTTGGTCGCATTTTTACGCCTTTGTTCTGTTGAAGTCATTGTGCAACCAATACCATGGCCTATATGGACAAGAACGGCAACAGATTGCAAATCGGAAAATTGTTAATTGCTCGGAGCTCTCAGACTTATTAAAATAAAAAATTAAAATGACATGAAAACGGATGACGGAATCTATTTCATGAACGTATTAAAAGAGGATCCAGGGTACAAATACAAGATTTGATCAGTAGTGTCCAGTCCCCCGGGGATAACACCCATATAAAAAGGACTGGGTGCTCGTCGGTTAAAAAAAGCGGTTTTGGTACCTTTGTTGCGGTACGTTTTAGGGTATTGAGCAGAAAAAAATATGACAGGAGATCTTGGTTGTTTTAGAATTGATACCTCTTACAGGGGTGAAAACATTTCAAGCCAAGTCCACTAAACGGTAGGTATCTTGGTACCTCTTAAGAGTTCCTTGTAAAGTTTCGACGAACAAGCCCGTTCTTGTCATATGAGAGGTCCCTCCGCTGGGAAAGATGTTAGACGAAGAGTAGATTCCGTCCAACCACTTGATGACAATCAATCAATCAATCAATCAATCAGTCAGTCAGTCAGTCAGTCAATCAATCATTCAACCAAAAAATGAATTAATTAGTCGACAAATCTATATAGGGGATATTCCAGGCGATTTCATCGGTTAACGTATTGTCAGTTATTGTCCTCCGAGCATCCGGCTGAACAAACATTGTAACCGAAGTGAGGGACCGTTTTCATATTTTGTGAAATTAGTGGGGGAGGGGTGAGATTTAGGGGATCATAGCAAAACAAGGCTTCAAGCGGGGTGGGGGCCGGAGAGAATATGGTGTGTAAAGGAGTTTTACTCATAATGATTACCATTTAAGTGTATTGAATGGAATCTATAAAAGTGGCAAAAAGCTCTACCAGAATGTCTAAAATAGTGTTCGTGAGGTTCTGAAAATTTATTAAGTTTTCGTGGGCTAGCATGTCCTCAGAACACCTACTTTATTATGCATGTTGCAACCAAGGTAAATACCTCTTACTAACCAAGTTCGAGAGCCGTACTGTAAGCTACGGACCGAGCTTTTTACCCCAATGGCCTAGGCGCAAAGCGAGCGGGCGGCCATAAATCGACGGGAAAAAAAACGAGGATCCGTAGCTTACAGTAGGGACCGAGAAGACGAGGTTAGTAAGATATTTATTATACCTTTACTGTGTGTCTGACGGGTTCGGGAACGATTTGTATTCACGTGGAACGGCTTCAAATTTATGACGCACGTCAAAAGCAAAACGAGTCAATTTGAAATTGTTGTCAAGTGACTCTTGACGTAAGCGTATTAAAATACACAAATTTAGAAGTAAAAAAAAAGTTTTAAACTTTTACTTGCTATAAACTGAGTTGAGAACGGCTTGGTGATAAATCACGAAACACTTTGGCAACAAAAACAGCTTTAAATTTTAGCCGACCGTACAGTAAAATTTGGCCCGCCAAGTTGACCAAACACGGCGCGGGTACCAACTGAGAGATATAATAAAGCATATTACTATTTTTTCTATCTACTCAGCTAGTTTAGTTTTCTTACTATTCTGAGTAGGTTTTTTTCTCTGCCGAATTTAGTTTATCGTTTTTATGCTAGTTTTTTACATGTAAATGTGGCAAAATAAAATAGATGGTTGTTGTTGTTGTAAATGTACCCACGGCATCAACTCAACCCCACCGAATACTCGGTTGTAAAAGAACTCCACAAAACGGCAGCCAACAGTTAATCGGTGCAATATTATTACTATTACTATCACTTAAAACTGAAATTCTACCTTCAATCCAATCTTATTCCAAATGGCCTCACCGCTTTTTGTCTTCATTAGATAGTTCGTAATTTCGATCTGCCGGGAGAAGGTGAAGGGTAATCTTACCTGTTATTCTTTCCTGGGGCCGTGTAAGGGAACAAATAGCGGCGCACTGCAAACCAGGACAGGAACGCGGCGCTTATTCAAACCACACAGGCAAAAATGCTTGAACTCTAGGGCGGGACTCATTCAGTTTCTATTTCTTCTGGAAGAGACTCACAATAACTTCACAATTTTCGCATTTCAATTGCCTTTCGCTCTCTTCTTTAACCTCTCTTTCCGTCGGCCAGTACGAAAAGGTTTGATCTATCATTTCAAATAAACTTGTAGGTCCCGTACCTCTCCTGGCTCTTGTGTGGGCACTTGAAGTCAGCTCCCAGCCGGCCGCTTGGATTTTACAGGCGGAAAGCAGAGGTAAGTACACAGTAATGAGAAGTGGCTTTATTATATGGCTAGCTCCGTGAGCGGGCAAGATGAATCAAATCCTGCGCTGTGATTGGCTACCCGAGCGGGCAAGATGGAGCTATCTTGCCCGC